TATACACATACACATATATATAATTGATTTTAGATAATATATAAATATATATATGAATATGTATATATATGAATCTGTATATATCACATATATGTACATACACATATATATATACACACACACTTAAATGTTTTTAACTTTGCAAGACTAGAAATTAATTTGTTTACAATATCCATTCCTCTAATAATTCAATATGTGTGCAATCAAAGCATGAAACTGGAAGATGTGAGAGTATATGATTATATATTGCCTAGATCAATTTAAGATTTCACTTAGTAGATAAAATGTGTTAAAACATTGTGTTTAGAATCTAGGGCTTAGATAAATACCAGTGGAGAATATCTAAAACACATGGAATCCCAAACAAATAACCTGAAAATGTCACCAATATCAATTATTATTAAACTACTAGAGGCCCAGTGCACAAATTTGTGCACAGGTGGGTCCCTCCGCCTGGCCGGTGATCGGGGCCAATCAGAGCCGATAGGCCAGAGGGAGGGACTGTGGGAGGTTGGCTGTGGGAGTGCACTGACCAACAGGGGGCAGCTCCTGCATTGAGTGTCTTCCCCCTGGTGGTCAGTGTGTGTCATAGCTACCGACTGGTTGTCCAGTCGTCTGGTTATAATGATCACTTAGGCTTTCATGTATATAGAAGACTAGAGGCCCAGTGCCTCTACGACGACAAGAGTAGGCCTTCCTTCCCCTGGCTGCCGGCACCAGCTTCCCTCTGGCACCCGGGACCCTGGCTTCCCTCCGGCCATCAGCAGGCACCCGAGACCCGGGCTTCCCTCGCAGCCCTGGCTTCGTCCGGAAGGACGTCTAGTCTAATTAGCATATTATACTGTTATTACTATAGATGCCACAGGTGAGGTATATAAGCACAGGAATGCAAGACTGACACTCTGAAGTTACACTGTTCTTTCTATAAAAATACATACTGTCTGTGTGTATGTGCAGGTACATAAGTGTATGTACATACATGTGATATAAACAGATTCACACATCAACAAAACACAGCATCTCTTCCATGTAAAACTTGTCTATTAACCTGTAATATCTCGCACAGCTTCACTCAGTTCCACATTGAAAAGTTAAGTGACTTAGGGATTGTGCACCATCAGCCACCGGAATAACGAATGACGTCTCAGGGTGCGCCCCGTCGGGGGCCAGGCCCCGGTCTGTGTGTTTGGCTCACGATGGAGTAATTGGCACAGAAAGCACCAGCTCCCAGCGCAGGGCCTGCAGGGCTAACAGAAGGAATGGGAAGCTCTGACTGGGATTATAGTGGGAAGAAGGCTTTCTACCAGGACCTTCACATCAATTAAAACAGGTATTTGAACGACATAAAGGGCCCCTTTGCCATCTCTCTTGGGCCTTGGAAACCCTCACAAAGACCGGAGAAAAGCAGAATATCCGACTTGCACATTTTTCTAAATTCATCTCCCAGAGAAGGAAGTGAAGAAAACGTCCTTTTCTCTCCAGGAAAGAATAGCAGGCTCGGAGCGGAGCGCGGGCCCTTCCCCGGAGAATAGCTGCCTGTGTTCGCATCACCCAATCTCTGTCAACGCTTCCCGGGCGCTCGGGGGGCCATTGTCCCCTCATTCTCTCCCCCAACAATGGAGAACATCAGCGCTGCGCCCGCAGGGGACGAAAGTAGGTCACCCTGTCGAGTGGCCAGCCCCACTTTGGGCACGTCTTGGTGGTGCCTGCCATTAGCTCGGTGCTCCTGCCTCAACCAGGGCCGGCCGGAAATAAAGCCCGATTCATCGTTACCTCAAACACTTCTTCATCCAGAATCCTCGTGCCGAACACCGTGATCCCGTTGGTGTCCACGATGGCGCGCTCGCTTCTCCCCAGCGGCTTGGTCGTTTTCTTCTTACAGTCAACGATCATGGTCACGGTTTTCTTCTCCACGCTGATGGCGACCCGGTGCCACCTGCCAAAGCCCAAGGATAATCCTTGCGTAAGCGCCCCAGACCTGGTTGCTGAGCCATCGTTCACGTTAAAATACGGTGTGACTCAGTGGATAGAGCCTCAGCCTCCTGACTGAAGGGTCCTGGGTTTGATTCCTGTCAAGGGCACATGCCCGGGTTGCCAGCTCGACTCCTAATAAGGGGAGTGCAGGAGGCAACTGATCAATGATTCTCTCTCATCACTGATGTTTCTCTCTCTCTCCCTTCCCCTCTGAAATCAATAAAAATATATTTTTTAAAAAATACAGTGCTTTTGAAATTGGGAAAGTGAGCTGAAATGGTGCAAGATGGAGGCTTGCTGTTTACCAGGAATGGCGCTAAGTGCCCCGGACACAGGCAGGATGCTCAGCATCCCTGCTATCCCTGCTGATAAGGGGGTGCCATCCTGGGCTGCCCTGTGCATGGCCACAAAAGCCTCATCTCACCGTGTCCCGGTGAGGGCCTTTGATAAGAGAATGGGGGTTGGGGTTGGGGGTGAGTCATTGTTCCCATGTATGGAAACGCTTTCTTCCCAACAACTACCTCTCTCGCCGCCCCGGAGGCTGGCTGCGAAAGGGTACGTCCTCTAACGGAATGCCAGCTCCACCGGGAGCCCGGGACGTCCTGGCTGCAAAACACAATGTGCTTCTCTGTCTTTATTCACATTTATTTCAAGTGCTTTCGTTTTATTTTTCCATTTTAATTTCAAGACAGTTATAGATCACTCCGGTGGGCAGGAGCCAGGACGGAGACACCATCTCTCTCCCTCTTCCCGGGCTGGCAGGAGGCGGGGACACGGAAAGCAGGCCCGTCTGCGCATGTGTGTGGGGTGGGGGGAGCTCATTCAGGGCGTGGGGACAGGCGGGAGGGGAGAGGTGACCAGGCCTTTGGAGACCGGCATGCCCGCCTCGTTGTGTAAAATGGTGGGTCTCATTAGCAGTGGCTGGTGCTAACAGAACCACCGGGTGAAGCTCACTAGATGGTGCAAGCCACTCTGGTTTAGTATTTTCTTTTTTTTTCCAAATGAAAAGTGCCAGATTAAGATTCCAGAAACGTCTAGGATTAGATCCATAAAACTGCAGGAGCCTTCCTAAAATGTGACTTGGCAGGGCTGCGGATGAGGACCAAGTAGATTTCCACATACACTTAATCCTTGGTTTTTCCACAGCCCGCTCAGTGCGCACAGGCGTCTGCTTGGTTGGAACTGAGCAGAGATTTACATGGAGGAACCTCTTCCTACTGTGAGGGTGAAACTTACACGTTTCCGCAAGATGCCTGCGTCCTAGCTTCAACCATTCTCACTAGGGGTGTGCTTTTCGTGAACCAGAAATACTTAGGATTTCAATTGTTAAAAGTCATAAGCATTTATTGGGATTAGATGCTCTGAGTGAGAGACAACGCTGATAGCACAGAATTCAGAATTCAGCGTGATTTTCGGAAGAATGGTGTGGTTGTTGGAGAGTCTGCCCTTCTATCAGCCATTTGCTAAAGCTATGACCTGTCTCTGCCACTTTCCAAATATATGATCTCGTGCAAGGGACCTACACTCTCTGTTGCCTTATCTGTAAAACGGGTTATTCACATCACTTTCCTTCAAAGAGCTGGGAAAATTGACTGTGTACAAAGTGTTTAGAAAAGTATGCAGCACATGCCAAGTATTACATAAGGCTTCCTTCCACTGTTCCTCCGACTTCACCTGATTGGTACACGGTAAGGAGACCATTGCTCTGCTCAAAGAGTCTACAGTGACTTCCCATCTCACTCAGAACAGAGCCCAAAGCCCTGACAACACTGCGACGTGCTAGCATCTGGCCCACGTGGCTGTCCATCCCACTGTCCGGCTGTGCCGCCGGCAGGCCGCCACCCTGGACCTTGCTTGGACCATCCAGCCCCACCGCTGGACCTGCTCCCCTCCTCCTGGAATAGCAGCCTTTCCATCCTCAGCGTGACCAGCCCATCTCCTTCACAAGTCCCTGTCTTAGTGAGGTTTGGCCTGAGCCCACTTCTTAAAGTGCACCTCTCCCCCCATTCCCTAAACTCTCCCCTGCTGGCTTCTCTCTCCCAGGTATCACCACCTGACATACCATTTATTAGTCATTTTTTACTGTTCATTGTTTGCCTGCCCAGATGGTACACTCTGCCAGGCTGGGTATGTGAGCGTGTTCACGTCTCTCTCGCCGGCCCGTAGAAAGCCACACCACGCCTGTACACACTCGCTGGATTAATCCGGCGGAAGAACTGCGTTGGGCTGAGACACTCGGTGATGGCGTCACTTACTTCCCATCGGCGAGGTTGACCGTGCGGAACAGGGGGTAGTCTTCGGGGGCGGGCTTCCCCAGATGGTCCTCAAACAGGAAGACGGGCGACCTCCCGACCTCCACGCCGATTTGCTGAATGCCGTGCTCATTGTAGATAGATAAGAGGAAAGACTGAATTCCTTTTTTGGGTTTTACTGTAAATAATATTGAAAAATCTTCTGGGAAAGTTCCTCCTGAGAAGAAAAGTCCAGAGAGTCAGATTCCGAATTTCCAAATGGCTCCTGGATCACCCCATTTTCTCAACTCTCTGTGGGGCCCTAGGAAGTCACCTGAGTCCACCCAGTGATAACAACACAGGTTAAAAGCCAACAGAGGGTACCGTGGCCAGGCAGTTGGACTGGTTAGAGCATCGCCCAGACACACCATGGCTGTGGGTTCGACCCCTGGTCAGGGCACAGAGGGGAATCGGCCAATGAATGCATAAGTAAGTAGACCAACAAATCCATGCTTTTTCCTCTCTGTCTCTGTCTCTCTCTCTCTCTCTCTGAAATCAATTTAAAACATTAAAAACAAATAGAGAAGACTCTCTCCTAAGCTTTTTCTGCAATAGCTGTCTCAGCTACATCAAGTTTAAAGCCACTCATTTAAAGCAGTTATGAAATAAAATTAAATAAAAAGTTCAGAAGCGAGATCACGATGCCAAGTACAATATTGAGCACAGGGGGCACTTTTAAAAGCACCCGGGTCCCACTTTTGGTGCCAGGTTTGTACCTGCTGCCTGCGCCTCATCCGAGGCCATCCATCCTCTCGCTAACGAGGCAGGGTACGGACACGGTGTAAATGTCTTCTCTCAGTCATCCTTTTGAAAGCCTGAGTCTCTGACCAGTTTTTCCAACCACACAGAGCAGTTCCACTAATAAAAAAAGCTTATGTCATCATAAACCAGAACTGGGAGACACGTGGCCGGTTTGATGGTGAATTCAAGAGGGCAGGCTGTCTCCGCCCCTCCCCCTCCCCCCAGCATATCCCAAATACCCCGCCCCGGGGGAAGATCCGTATCAGTGCTCAGAAAGCATTTAGTCAATGAATGTATTAGTCAAATGAACAGCATAAATTATGTTTATGTCAGACAGTTAAGCAAAGAAAATGTATATAAAATAAAGTCTACACAGAGGGGAAGGGGAATTTTAGGAAATAACATTTATATCAGGCTTAAAAAATTACAATTTAATCATCCAATCTGTACAGCAGTACCTTTGAATACTGTCACTTTTTAACTACACTTATGAGTAAAAGCTGTTAATTATAAAGGTATTTCCCAATTTAAAATAGAGCAATAACTTCAAAGATTATTGTTTAAAAAGAAAATACAGTAGTCTAAGGAATCAGGATTTAATGTCAATCTAACCTAGGCAACCCACCTTAGTATCTCCCTAAAAAAGATGCTAATTAAAACTGTTCAAAATTCATGTAACATTATATTTAAAATCGTTTTTCTTGGAAAAAATATGTATGTCGGTAAGAAAACGTTTGTACAAGAAAAAATTTTTAAAAATAAAACTCTTCAAAAATTGTTCGCAACTGACTATGTCAGAGAGAATTCCGTAAGAATGTAGTTCAACAACAGAACTGAAACCCTAGCAGGTGAACTTGTACATGGGTGGGCATGAAACATGAAGTTGCTCCGTTCTCCCCAGTAACTAAATTCTGCGTGATTCTATGCAAAAGTGAGCTAGACATAATGTTGGCTTCAAGTTTTGTCATCTTGAAATAAAATAGCGTTATTAGGTTTTCTCATTAGCATATCTTCTGTGAATGTGCTGAGTTAAAATTGGCAATTACTAAATCATTATTAGTCCAGCCAGCGTGGCTCAAGTGGTTGGGTGTCAGCCTATGAACCAGAAGGTCACAGTTCGATTCCCTGTCAGAGCACATGCCTGGGTTGTGGGCTCGATCCCCAGTAGGGGGCGCGCAGGAGGCAGCCAATCAATGATTTTTTTCTCTCATCATTGATATTTCTATCTCTCTCTCTCCCACTCTCTTCCTCTCTGAAATCAATAAAAATATATATTTAAAATCATTATTTTCCTTGTTGCCTTGGTGACCACCATCTATTTGCTGTCTGATATATAAAAATGATATCTTCCCCACCATAATCGTGCATTATAAAGTAGGATAAAAAGAAATAGTGAGAAGTAACATAGTGGTAGCCATAGTAATGCAGTGAACTTACCTGAAAAGAGCTGTTTTGTCGGGGCGCTGAGCTGGGCCTGCTTTGAAACTCTGTAAGCAGTATCCGACCCTTTCGAATTCTTTCTGTTTGTGCAAAAGCCCGTTGTTTTTGATATTCCCTCTGGAGAATTGTGAAAATCTAGAGCTTTTAGTACATCAACTGGAGCAGCTGAAAAATAAGTTAAAAATAAGAAAAATGTAATTGAACAAAACAACCGAATACAAAAGTGAGTATTTCTTTTTTTAAAAGAGGAAGTCGTTTTCGGTTCCACCTACAAAATCTGTTTATCACCTGTCCTGCTTCCCTAACATTTGGTGGGGAGCTGAGGAGTGGGGCGGCAGGTAAAGAATAACCAAAACATCCCCAATTACAAAAGATCTCTACGCAGGAACCAAACGATCCAGAGCAAAGCAGAATATTTACTTTTATATAAATATTTATGCGTGTGGGCATGTAGATTTAGAATTTAATGTGACTTGTATATGGATTTGCAGACACTCTGATGCACCACAACTTCAACTTATAAAATCTTTAATTGTTCTAAATAACTGCATTGTTTGGCATTGAAGTGAAAGCCGGCATCTGTCATGTTCCATTACCTTCTAACAGATTTACTATTCGACTATTCATAATCTAAACAAAGGTGATTTTGAAGATTCAAACTCAGAATGAATGTTATGCACAAATACTGCAAATGAGCACTTAGTAAGTCATATTGTGTGTACAAGGAGAAGACAGGAAAAGAAAGTAACAGAACATAATGCCCTTGTTCTGAGTGCTTTGTGCTATTAGTTCTGCACAAAGTACTTTACGGAAGCCTATACTTGCTTGGATATGCGTGTGTCTGTACTTTGTGCGCCTGCCTGAACGTACGGACGTATAATTTGCTGACTTTCACCACCTAAATTTGCCAGAGTAACTGCATGGACATTGCTTCATGCTTCGATATTTAGATTTACAGCCCCTGGCGATGAGTAATCCTGCCCTTCTCCCCTTAATGTAGTCTCAGGGTGTAGGGTCAGGCCTATTTGTTGGCAGAAGCATAAATTTTCCAAATCCAGTTCATTCCGGCTGCCCCCTTCTGCCATGAGGTGACCAGTAGAAAATAAGTTCGGAACCTTAGACTTCCCCTTCAGATACACATGATGCTGTAAACAGCTGTATTGGAATATAATTCACATACCAGGCATTTAAAGTGTCCGATTCATTGGTTTTGGTCTACTATACTATTCGTTTATATATGTCATGATTATATATATTATCAAATTTTCCACTGTAGCCATTTGAAAGTGTACAACTGAGTAGCATGGTTATATTCACGTTGTGCAACCATCACCACTATTTCTGCCACTTTTTCAGCACCCCAGGCAGAAACTCTAGATCCATTAAGCAGTAACTCTCCATTTCCCCCTCCTCCAAGCCATTGGTAATCTCTACTCCACTTTCTGTCTGTATGAATTTGCCTATTTCAAATGTTTCATATAAGTGGAATCATAAAATATTCCTCCAAACACTAAACATAGAAGTACCTTATGACCAAGCAATTCCGCTCTGAGAGATATACCCAAAATGGTGAAAGCTGGAACTTAAACAGACACCTGTATGTCAATGTTCATTGCTACACTATTCACCATAGTCAAAATGTGGAAATAACGCAAGTTTAGAACAGAATGGTATATTCATGCACTAGAACATGAGTCAGCCAGAAGAAGGAATGAAGTTCTGATACATGCTCCAACATAGATGAACCTTCAAAACACAGCACTCTATGAAGTAAGCCAGGCATAAAAGGACAAATGAATATTTTAGACCCCCCACCCCCATTTCCTGATCCACCACCAAGTCTCATTTACTAGTAATTCACTGAGCAAGTAAAACCAGCAATCATGAGCTGTAGCGTTGTGATAAAAGTAGACTTCAGAATCTATTACTCAATGTGCTTATATTCTATTGGCTCTCTATTTTTATTCAAAATTATAAATTTCAGAGAAGGCCATGTGCCAGCCAGTGTATCAGTGAGTCTAAGACATACCCCTTACTGCACGTATTTAGATTCTAATGACAAAGTCTCTATTTATGCCTTAGTAAGTAATAGGAGGCAGTAACTCTATGGGAGTAGATTCGCAAAGCCTTGTTCTGTTCAGACGGGAAAGAAATCAGTTCTGGTTGAAAGTGAGAACCAATATTATTGCTTTGAAAACTTTCAGTTGTTAGTCAAAAAAAATAGCATCTCCATCAAATTCCAAAACATAAACTCGCTATTTCTGGGAGGACTTAATGAGAATGAAATTGGGACTTACTTTAGAGTCAGGAGATATCACCACCACAATTTATCACACTCAGAACGTAGAGTGACTGCTACCATGATGCTCTTTGAAAATTACAATTTCCATTCATATTTCTTACAATAACGGTCAGTCTGTTCTATAATCTACGCATGAACGATGGGATGCCTGCGAGCAGTGCACATCTGGTCATGTCCTCAGTTAATTAAATTCTGGGCGGTACTGACTTCCATGTGTACAAACCTGTGAATGAGCTTTATGTACTTTGCCTTTGATGGTATAACTAATGTCCTTTCCTTTCATAGTAAAGATGTCTACCTATTCCATCAAGCTTCTGAATGAACATCAACATACAATCCAGTAGAGTACATACATAGTGTTTCAAATATTCTTAAAAACACCTTCTCTCTATGGACAGCAGGCATTTCCCAGGGATCATTAACTCTATCAAATCTGCTTACCTTGTAGCTCAGCCTGGGAATAGAGAATAATAATAGCAGTGAAGAACATTTTTTACGATAGCCCTGCTGGTGATGGCCGAGATTTTAAGCCAATAGGAGAACTCATCTTTACTTTTCTGCGACGACAGAACTCACATCACAATAACTATCCTAGCGCCATGTCCACAGAGTGTAGTATGTGCCAATCACTGGGCTGAATTCATCTCAGGCTGTAACCCTACAAACCATTCGGGGCTCTGTTCTTATGCCCACTGTGCAGGGGAAGGGACTGGGAACCAGAAAGCAAACGAAGAGAGTGCATGTAAGGTCTTTGCAAATATCAAATCTAGGCTTTTCTCATTCCCCCATCCTCGTGGCTGTACCCCAGAAATAAACACGCTGCATAACGAAACGGAATCTGTGAATACCAGACACTAGAATTATCTGGGGGCCGTTCATTGATGCCTGATGTTTACATTTGCTTGACGTTAAACTCGGTGCGTGCTGAAGGTATAGATTTACTCGGGAGGAGGCTGCTTCCACAAGCCACCGCACCTTATCTGTTTACTTTATCTTATCTTCTTGCGTGGAAGCCATTAGGGAAAGTACATCTGCAGAGTTGAAAGACTCCGGGGGAGACATGGACTCAGCCATAAAGGCTGTCATTCTTCTGAGAAGAAAAGGCGGCAGCCCCATGGTCACGGTCCCAACCGTATGGGGTAAACAAGACATAAAATGAACCACAACTTTCCTTCTCCCCAAACTATCTTTTCACGGGGTGACCCTCTCCAAGGGCAGGCTCTCTCACACCGATCCCTGCCGACGGTGAGCCTGCTGTGATGGAAACACACTCCCCGTGCAGGACTCAGACGAAGGCTCTGCTTTTCCTCACGGGGCTCTTTGTAGAAACACACAGTATGAAGTTCTTCAAAAAAACAGTTAAAAAATAGGAACATCTAACAGAGATGCCAAAAGGATTACTTTTCTAAGGTCACAAAAATGTAGCTCAGTTAGCCAAGCCTTACAGTGTGTTTTTCCTTTCAAGTAAAATCGATAATATATTAAGCCACTTTGAAATCTGCCTTTTATTCGATCTCATGATCATAGCATTTAACAAATTCTTACAATATGGGTCTAAGGTTTTATACACATATGCGTGTGCGCACACACAGGGAAACTATTCTTTTTTTATTACCTAAACTGCAACTGTTTAACAATTAAAAGTAGGAATTTATTGTAAGTTAACTCAATATTTCTACAATAAGTAGAATTTCGATAGTCAAGGCAAATCCTAAATGCCCTAAATAGTTTGTTTCTATGCTGCCAACAGAGATGGCGCAAGTCATGATCCGCTTGTCAGATGGATCCAATCAGAGAGCATTTTGTTCAAAACCTTTTTCCTGGCTTCTGTGGTTTACTTTCACTGTTCATTTTATGGGAGAATGGGATCTCAGAGCCCTGTGTGTTACTGCAATAGCCATTTAACTCTTTTCCCTGGTTTTCCTTTTTGTTGTCGTTAATCCTTACCCGAGGATATTTTCCCATTGATTTTTAGGGAGAGTGGAAGAGACTGCCCGAGGCCCTCAGGCATGCCCTTGCTCCCCAACAACTATATATGGGCCTGACTACCAACTGTGTGCCCTCAGTTCACTGGTCTCTCCACGAATAGGTCTGGCGCTGGGTGCCTCCACCTTGCACATATGAGTCCCTGGAGCAGGTCTCCAGTGGAAGCCTCAGAAACCAGGGCCCAGGACGGGGAAGAGCCTGCAACCAAGGTACGTGCCCTTGACCAGAATCAGTCTCAGGACCCTTTGGTCCGCAGGCCAAAGCTCTATCCACTGAGCCACACCGGCTAGGGCTCCCTGGGTTTTCTTATTAATCTGCATGCATACCACAGCTGGAGTGAGCTGGCAGAACTCTGTGCTGCATGTCAGCCTGCTGCCTGAACCCCTTGAAAGCAGCCGGCTAACTAGCAGGTCACACCGGCTAGGGCTCCCTGCGTTTTCTTATTAATCTGCATGCCACAGCTGGAGTGAGCTGGCAGAACTCCGTGCTGCATGTCAGCCTGCTGCCCGAACCCCTTGAAAGCAGCCGGCTAACTAGCAGGTGTGTGCACATGCCTTGCATGTGAAATCTTGGTGTTGAACAACTGTTGGACTTGGACACATGACCGAGGGCCTTGTGCCTCAGCTTGCACATCTGTACAGGAACAGCAGAAGTACTCAGCTAAAAGAGTTTCTGAGAGGACTGAGCTGGTATTTGTAGCGATGCCTCAGAGCAGCAGCTGGGAGGACTCCTGTGGACGAGGACTGCCCTGCTGTCTGGTACCCGAGATAGGAGCGGCTTTACATTTGTATATGGTTGAAAAGAATTAAAAGCAGCATAATATTTTGTGACACATGAAAATGGCATGAGATTTAGACATCAGCATCCACAAATACAGGTTCTTACTGTAGTAGTCACAGCCATTTGTCCACAGTTGTCCATAGCTGCCTTCCAACGAGGACAGAGCTGTGTGGCTGGGACCGTGTGGCCCACAGAAGTTAAACTATCTACCATCTGGCCCTTGTGAGCTGAGTCCTGAAGGACGAGTAGAAGTTCATCAATGAAGAAGAGGAGGGCAATAGAACTATCAAAAAATGTCAGCACGGAGTTCAAGGAAATGAAACTGGTCATGGCTGCCGGATATGACATCAACACTGAACATGCTTAGATGCCCAAATTCTCCCTGGGGGCCCCATGGCTGCTCTTGAGAAAACTCACATCTCTTCCATGAATATTCATAGCCACACACTCCAATGAGATGTCTACACTAACCCCTGTTCACTTCCCCGACCCCAAATATTACGCTCCTGCCATAATGACCATCTTCCAGCTTCTAATATTCTTATTATTCCTGTACTGGGGGTATTTTTCAATCCTTCCTCCATTGGCTAAGGAGAGCTGGCTGATTTTTCAACCCTAACTGTCATCTGAATCCCCTGGAGAACTTTGAAATTGTGGATGCCTGGGTGCTACATCCAAACTAATGACGACAAAGACTGGAGTGGGGACCAGTCATGTGTATGTTTTTCAAGTTTCCCAGGCGAGTCAAGTGGGTAGCCAGGGTTGAAACCTGGTGCATTCAGACTTGACCAACCTTCTGATCTCAACCCAAGCCTGGCTTCCTTCAGGAAATCATTACTTATCCCTCCCAGGCTGGGTTATGGGTCCGTCTCAAATGACCCCACGGACCCTATATTCCCCTTGGACAACTCCACACTCTATTTGGTTGGCTTGCTTAATTATCTCATTTTCACTCTAGGCTGCATCTTCTCAGGCACAGTGTATGTCTAAATTATGATCATGTTGCCCTGTTTCATACTTATACCACCTAAAATTTCCTCTCTCTCTCTCTTTCTTTCTCTCTCTCTCTCTCTCTCTCTCTCTCTCTCAATCCCTAAACTCCTAAACTTGTAATTCATTATTTAATGTTTGCCTCCCTTGATGATTATAACCCTCTGACAGCAAGTCTCAGCATTATTGGCATTCACTATAGTATTCATAACCAACAGAGCAACTGGCACATAGTAAATAATCAATAGTGATATATGAATGAATGAATGAATGAATGAACAAACGAACCAGCAGCTACGTCCTGCCTCTTTTAAAAAGCTGCCTCCCCCAGACTGAGGAGGAAGGTCTGGAAGAGGCTGTCACAAACAGAGCCTTGACGAGCTTCCAAAGGCTCGCTGCTCCCACCGGACTCAGGGGCGGCAGGAACACGGGTCCGAAGAGTCCTTTCTAAAGCACGTACTTTCCAGGGGGTCACTTGCCCGCACCTTGCACCTCACACCATAGGCCACATGTGAAGCACACCATCGAGAGAAATAAAAATAAGATGAAACACAGAAAGAGTTACACACCCTCCCCGACCCAGGCCTGAAATGCTCTGCTGCCCTGAGTGTGGCCAGCCAGGAGCGCTCTGTGTGTGTGTGGTAGTGGGTGCAGGGCTGATCAAACCTGAGTGAGAAGAGACCCAATACCCTCTATATTTCCAAATCACAACGGCTCCTAATGAAGAGTAAAACTCAGGATTCCCCCAAGCCAGCAGCCAGACAACGATTAAGAGCTCAGTGTCTGCGGCTGGAACTTCCGGCGTCTAGCGCAAGCCCAGGACCTATGATCAGCATGACACTGGGTGAGACACTTACCCCACGAAGACCTGGCTTCTTCAACTTAACCTCATTTTGAGAATTAAATGACATAAGGCACTTTGACCTCTGACACCTAGTAAGCATGCAATAAAGCAGCATCAGAAGGCGTCGTCTCTTCAAAATGCCCCTTCGGAACACCTCTGCCAGTGCCAGTGAGCGCACCCAGAGGTGCCTTCCCTCACTGCTGTTCTCCCTCCTCGGCAGGCCCTGGGACCTGCTCACCGTGGAGCAGAGGGCTGGGCGTTTTCTCTCTTGGAAGGTCCGTTACGTGTCATCCACGAAAACTGCAACACGAGCACCCTCCCAGCATGCTCTTTTATTTCTTTTAATTGATTTTATTGATTTTTCACAGAGAGGAAGGGAGAGCGATAGAGAGTTAGAAACATCGATGAGAAAGAAACATCGATCAGCTGCTTCTTGCACACCCCCTACTGGGGTTGTGTCTGCAACCAAGGTTCATGCCCTTGACCAGGATCGAACCTGGGACCCCTCAGTCCGCAGGCTGACGCTCTATCCACTGAGCCAAACTGGTTAGCGCTTTTTTAAAAATTGACTTTTAGAGAGAGGGGGAGAAAGAGGGGGAAGGAGGGGGAGAGGGAGAGAAAGCAATATCAATGTGAGAGTGCAACATCGATCGGTGTGACTCCTACTAGTGATTGAGCCCGAAACTGGGGCATATGCCCTGAACGGGAATCAAACCAGCAACCTTTTGGTGCATGGGACGATGCCCACCCAACTGAGCCATGGCAGCCAGGGCTCCCCAGCGTGTTCTTATGTCATCCTAGGTACGTG